CGGACGCTTAACCGACTGCGCCACCCAGGCGCCCCTAGCCAGTTCATTCTTAAATGGCCACCTGGGCTGGTAAAATAGCGATTTACTCCCCTGGCATTTAGTAAATAGACACTGTCCCCCACCCCCACTCCAATATAGTCCCCAGCTGCAGAGATCTCCTATGACCCGTATGAGTAAAAGGATGCCGCCTGGCAGAGCGGGGGCCACTCAGGTCCGTGCTGATTGGCCAGTGCCCCTGCCCTACTGCTGTTACAGGCTGTGGTTCTCCCACCGGTGGGCTCCTGCACACTAAATGCCAGTTGCAAACCAATCACTAAATGTTCCCATATGCGTTTCTGCACGGGGGTGGGCTGAATCCCAGCCCCCCATCCACGTAAGTCCTAGAGAGATGATATGCCTGAGGAGGGGACTGAATCCCAACTCTGCCTCCCAGGCTGGAGCTTGGAGGTAGGAGGGGACGGGAGAGGAGATCTGATCTCTTTTTCTCCTTCTACCTGGTCTTCCTGGGACCCGCCCACGTGCTCCCGCAGCTTCCTGGTGAATATACAGTACCGCCGTCTCTACCAAAGCATGCAGTCCCAGTACCTTAAGCTGCTCACCACACAGGTGAGTGGGAGCGGCACAGCTGGGTCCACCAGCAGCCTCAGGACCCTGGAGCGGCATGACAAGGCGGGGCCCCCTTTAGCGTGCCACTCCGGACTCGGGGAGCTGAAACTCCAAGAAATGAAGTCCAGTGACTGGCAGGGTCATGATTTGAACCTTGCTTTGTCCCCACCCCATGCTGCTCTGTCGTAGGAGGCTGCATCAGCCAAGGAGCTTTTGGGTTGAAAAGAGCTGGCGAGAATGTGTTACAAACGAGCAAATGGAGGTTCAGGGTGGGAGAGGGCCTTGTCCAAGGTCATCTAGGAAGTCCTGACAGAGCCAGGCTAGGACCAGTGGTTAGAACATAACCTCTAGGGGTCAGATCGTCTGTGTGTACGTCCCTTCATTAGCCACGCGCCCCTGGGCAAGTTTTTCCCATCTTGAGACTTGGTTTCTCCACCTATAAAATGGGGTTATTGGTATCTACTTGCGTAGGTAAAGCATTTAGTAAAACACCAGTCATATAGGAAACAGAAAACCTGAGTGTTTCCTGCTTTTGCTATTTAGCAAGGCCCCTTGAATGCCCTGAGGGGGTAAGGCTTGAACCCGGGAAGGGCTGGGGCCTGGGCTCATTCCAGACCCTCCCACACCCCCCCCCCCCCCCCCCCCCCCCCCGCTCTGCTCCAGAAATACCGGATCCTGCTCTACAACGGAGATGTGGACATGGCCTGCAATTTCATGGGGGACGAGTGGTTTGTGGATTCCCTGAACCAGAAGGTAAGGCAAGGATCCCGGCTCTGGAGTGAGGTTGGGTGCAGGGATAGGGCAGCTATGCCTGTCAGCTTGGCTCTGGCAGACAGAGAGGACAAACCTGGGGGGAGTTCAGGCCCCTGAGGTCCTGCTGGCAGACGTGAGAGAGATTTGAGCACAGCCACAGGCTGCTAAGGCTTCCCTCGTGGGGCAGATGGAGGTCCAGCGCCGGCCCTGGTTAGTGGACTACGGGGACAGTGGGGAGCAGATCGCAGGCTTCGTGAAGGAGTTCTCCCACATCGCCTTTCTCACCATCAAGGTAGGGCTTGGGCCTGGCAAGGGCTGCCTGGCTGGAGGGGATGGGGCAGAACCCACCCGTCCTCTCCTTCCGACTCCCTTTTACACCCATTTACCATCTGGCCCCATAAGGGCAAGCGTTCTGGGCAGGGTGGGGAGAATGCAGGGCTTGGGAGAAGAGGAAGGTCGCTGGCTGAGGGGATCCAGTAGGATGGAGGGGCGCCCAGGGGCAGGGGTTACACAAGAGGGGGAATCTCACAGAGCTTTGCTCCTAGGGCGCTGGACACATGGTCCCCACCGACAAGCCCCAGGCTGCCCTCACCATGTTCTCTCGCTTCCTGAATAAGCAGCCATACTGATGACCACGGAGACCGGTCCCCTTCTGCCTGATCCAGCCCCTCTTCCTGGCCCCTCCTGCTAGAAGGGAGGTCCGCCTTTATGCAAAATGCCCCCGTGGGGCAGGTCCCTGCCTCCAGAACTGCTCCCCCACCCCTGCCTCCCCCACAGCCCTCTGCCTCCCAGACCGGGCCCCAGTGCCTCACGTAGACAGCCTGGGGGAGTTAGCACTTTATTCCTGACTGGGGTGCGGCCTGGCCCCCTCCCTTAATGCACTGGAACACAGCAGAGCTCAGGACAGCCCACGGGGAGGGTGGACGGACTAATTGATGGATTGAGTGTGATTATGGAATTAAATTGGGTACAGCTTAAAACCCTGTCTTCTCTGTGGCACTGGGGGTTACACAGGATGCTATAGGCTGGGAGGGGCCGAGAGGGTCGAAGTCCTGGATGCCCCTGCCAGCGTGGGGTTGAGGGCTCAGGCAGCCGTCGTGGCAGGTGGTGGGGCACTGGATGCCGAGGTGTCGCTGGTGCTGGCAGGCCGGTTCTTCTCAATCACCTCTCGCAGCCCTTTGGCAAAGTGGAGGTCGGCCCCGATGGTGAGGAAGCCCTGTGCAGCGGGGCAGAGAGGGGAGCCTCTTCATTCCATTACAGAGACCAAAATCTAAAGATCGAGACAGGCCCTTGGCCTTGAAGGGCTCTCAATCTAGTGGGAGAGGAGCCTCAAAGAAGTTCTAACTCCTGTGAAGGGTGTGAAAGAGGCTGCAGGGGCGTGGCCTGTGGGGGTCAAGGAGGGCTTCTGAGATGGCCTCTTAGCTCAGGTGTTAAAGTGGGATCCAGGAAGAGTGTTGCAAGGTGAGGGCACAGCCTGTGCAGAGGGCTGAGGTCTGATGGAAGATTAAAATGGGAGCGACACTTGATAAGGGAGGGGCTGGGATCTGACAGCAGAGGGAGGTCAGGGTCGTGAAGTGGGGGGAAGGCTCTGCCCTCTTTCTCCATCACTCGCTCCCCACCCCCACTCACCGCATGGTTGGTCACCACCTCGCGCACGAAGTTGATGCCCTCGGGTAGTGGGATCTGCACCCCCCGCCACATCCGCTCTGTGGGTGGGAGCAGCGGGCTCAACCTGGGTCCACCCAGGTCCCCTCTCCTTTCCCTCTCCTCCCTCCCGTCCCCAGCCCTACCATTGAGCATGGGCATCACCCCAATCTGCAGCATGGTCTTCAGAGGGGTCTGCAGTGGGATCAGCTGGGAGGGAGGAGGCAGGAAGTCAGGGCAGCCAGCCGGAAGCGGACTTGCCTTAGCTGCCCGGCCCCAACCCAGCCCTGGCCCCCTCGCCACTCCCAACTCACTGCCAGCGACTCCAGTGCAGACTGGTTCGAGTAGATTCGGAACCTATGGGAGACAAGTGTCTAGTGGGCACGAACCCTGGAGGTTCCCCTTCCTCAGGCCACCCAGGCCTACCGGCCAGAAGCCCCTGACTTTCAGCCTGCAATGCTCCCACCTACACACCTGTCCAGGGGTTCTGCCGCCTTCCGGGTGTGCATCCTTGGGTGAGTCATTTTTCCCTCTTTGGGTTCCTTTTTTCCAAGGCTACCACTTTTAATTCGTTGAGCGCTTCCTCTACGCCAGACTCGTGCTGGCAGCTTTGCCTGTGTTGTTTGTGTTTGTTTAACAGAGCGTACAGAGCTTCCTCCCTACCAGATACTAAGCGTGTTACAAAAAGTTAACTATCATTAAGATATTTTAAAATGCCAACTGACTTAATCCTCCTAACAACCCTAAGAAGTAGGCGCTGTTAAACAACTCGCGCTTTTTAGATGGGGCAGATCAAGCCTAGAGAGGCTAAGTAATTTGTCTGAGGTCTCAACAGCTGGTAAATGGCAGAATCTACCTCTAGAATCTAGGCTCTTAACTACTGCCCTGCAGTATCTCATTTAACCCCTAGCACCTGTGGCTAGCATCACAAACAGCACAACCTTACAAAATGGATGCTACTTTTCCCTACGTTTAGCCCATGAAGAAAATGAAGCTTAGAAAGATAAAGTGACTCTTCTCAAGATCACGAAATTTGTGCTGAGGTTTCTGCCCGAACCCATGTTGTTTGGCTCTTTGCTGTGTGACTGAGGGCACGTCCTTTAACCTTGCTGGGCCAATTTGGACACCTCATAGTATCTGTTCTGCCTCTCTCTCGGGTGTAAGGCAAGGCAGAGAAGTTACCCTTGAATAAGATGCATTTGTTATGCATTAACAAAGACCTTAGCTCTCCAGTGGCTGTAGATCTGAGTGAATTTCAGCTCCCCACTTGTTGGGCAGGTGCAATTAACCTGAAGACACGGAGGCTCAGGGAGGTTAAGGGCTTGCCCGAGATCTTGGCCATCTGCTTACCGGCGCAGGTCCAGCTGGACGCGCAGCGCCTTTCCCCGGAGTGCCACCTTGGCGCTGAGACGGGTGTCCTGCAGGCAAGGAGTTGGGAGGGGGGTGTTACTGACCCAAAGGATCAACAGCCCGCATCTCCCTGACCCTCAGTAGCTCCTAATCTGGTGCCCGCACCATAATCATGCTGGACAGTTGGACCTCAGGCTGGTCGGACGGGACCAGGGCGATGGTGACACTTGCGGTGACAGAGACGGTGGTACCCGAGGGCTTGATGGTGCAGCGAGGTGGGGCCAGGACCCTTAGCTCCAACTTCAGCGGGGAGTCAATCACCGCCGGGCTCTGGGGACAGAGGAGCGAGGGTGGGTCAAAACCCAGATCTGTTCCCTGATGAGCACCAGGAGGGGAGGACGGCTGGCTCAGGTTCTGCCCGCTGGGAGCCCAGGCACACAAATATGAAGGCTGGTGTGGCTTCCCAGACCCTTCAAAATTGTGTCCAGCCTCTGTGCCTTTGCTCACACAAGGGAATGTCTCATTCTAGAAATGTCTCCTCCTTTCCTGCCTTCCTGAGCTCTTGGTCGTGGGGATCCATCTTCAACCAGACTCCTGAGACTGTGTTTGCATCAAATATCCCCTCTCTCTGCCATATTTCCTCTCTCTAACCTGCCGTGTCCTTTGTCCGAGAGGCACTCCTACTTCACTTGTGTTAGCTCATTGAAACCTCTCAATGACCATGTGAGGCAGGTATTCTACTCATTTTTGAGATGGGAAAATTGAGGCACAGAGAGGTTAAGTACTTGTCCAAGGTTATGTGGTCCTCCAGTTGCAGAACCTGGGATTCAGACCCAGGCAGTCTGGCAAGAGAGTCCACACTCTTACTGACGCTTGGCCATCAGGTTGATGGAGACGATGGTGCTAACAGCGATGATAAGAACAGCAGCCAGTGAGTGTTTCCTGAGCACTTACTCTGCACCCGGTGCTGTTCCAGTCCCTTTGCATGAATTGATTCAGCTAATACTCATGACAGTTCTGTGAGGTTGTATAGTGTAAAGGAAATTAAGGGCAAGTCCTTTAATGGCCACTAAGATGCTTTTTACATTTTGAAAGAGTAGGTGGGAACTCCTCCATTAAACAAGGGAAAATAAGGCAAAAAAGAAAACCACATCAGGGGCACCTGGCTAGCTCAGTCGGTAGAACACATGACTCTTAATCTTGGGGTCGTGCGTTGAAGCCCCACAAAGGGCATAGAGATTATTTAACAATCGAATTAACTAACTTAAAAAGAAAAAAGACTACATCAGTCATTGTTAAAGCGCCCCTACACTTACAGAGCTTGGGTCTCAGCCTGTCCTCATAGCTTCATGAAGAGCAGGAAGTAGCAAGGGCCCTTCAAGGACTTGGAAATGAGTTTGACAAATAAGAGGACCGGGTCACAGGCAGGAGGCCAGGCCTTCTGTCTATTCCACAGTGGCCTCGGGGGGACTCCACCCGCACACCTCCACCGTTCCCTCACTGGTATGCAGGTGCTATGCCCTCCCACCCTGGCCAGGTGCCTACCTCCTGCCCGCACTCACCAGCAGGACGATGCTCCCAAAGTAGGTGGCCCTCAGCAGCATGTCCAGATCGTGGGGCACCTGGGTAGGGAAATTGGGGGTGAAGCAGGGTCATCAGGAGCTCCGTGACAGGGCCCCTCTTGCCCATCCCACAAACAGGCCCTGGCATACCTTGTCCCCCACCAGTGACAGCTTCAGGGCACCCGCTCGGAAGTAGCTTTCCATGGCGGAGTCAAAGAAGAACTCGGAGAAGGCCACGTACACCATCCGCTCCTCCTCCCGCAGCTGGGGCTCAACCGCCCGGTTGGGCAAGCTCCAGTTGCCCTCCGCCAGGGGAAAGAAGGCCCCCTGCAGTTGGGGGATCAGGGTCAAGGCCAAGGCAGACTGGCCCAGCACCCAGATGCTCCCACACCCTGTGGCAGGCACTGTGAGGGATGGTGGGGGTCAAACCCAGCTGCTGTCCTTAGGGGACTCCTCAGCACAATTTTTAAGTTTTATTTATTTAATCTCCACACCCAACGTGGGGCTTGGGCTCACGACCCCAAGATCAAGAGTCGCATGTTCCTCCCACCTGGGCCAGCCAGGCACCCTCATTAGCACAATTCTTAAAAAGACATGGAGAGGAGGGCAGCTTCAAGGGAGCACTCCCGTCAGACTGGAGAACGGAAGCTCAGGAAAGGGTTCAGGAGGAGGTGGCATTTCAGTGGGCCTTGAACGATACATGGCAGCAATAATAGCTGCTGCTTACATCTTACATAGTAATTCTTCCGTGCCCTTGACATACACCAACTCCTTTAATCCACATAATCCTCCGTGAGAGATGTTTTCTTACTGTATTATAGCCATTTACATATTAGTAGGAAATAGGCACAGAAAGGTTAAGCCACTTACTTAAAAAAATTTTGGGGGGGTGTGCTTGGGTAGCTCAGTGGGTTAAGTGTCCAACTTCAGCTCAGGTCACGATCTCACGGTTTGTGAGTTCGAGCCCCACGTCGGGCTCTGTGCTGACAGCTCGGAGCCTGGAACCTGCTTCGGATTCTGCGTCTCCCTCTCTCTCTGCCCCTCCCCCATGTGAGGGGAGCACAGAGCCCGACGTGAGGCTCAAACTCACGAACCGTGAGATCGTGACCTGAGCTGAAGTCGGACGCTTAACCGACTGAGCCACCCAGGTGCCCGTAAGCCACTTGCTTAAGATCACGCAGCAAGTAAGTGGCAGAGCCAGGACCTGAACTTCAGACATGCCAGCTCTAATCCTTGCTCTGAAACCGCTACACTCCATCCACTGTGGGGAGCAAAGGAAATGGCCACGTAGTAGCTGTGTGGCCTTGGGCAAGTGACATCACCTCTTCGAGCAAGTGTCCACATCCCCAAAATAAATAAAACAGAAGTGCCTGGGGGCGCCTGGGTGGCGCAGTCGGTTAAGCGACCGACTTCAGCCAGGTCACGATCTCGCGGTCCGTGAGTTCGAGCCCCGCGTCAGGCTCTGGGCTGATGGCTCAGAGCCTGGAGCCTGTTTCCGATTCTGTGTCTCCCTCTCTCTCTGCCCCTCCCCCGTTCATGCTCTGTCTCTCTCTGTCCCAAAAATAAATAAACGTTGAAAAAAAAAAAATTAAAAAAAAAAAAAAAAAAACAGAAGTGCCTGACTCACACAGTCGTGAGAGTGAAATGAGGTTATGTGCATAGAGCCGTATGTCCAGCTCCTTCAGGGAAGATGGGGAAGGGCAGTGCATGAGCAAAGGCCCTGAGGTAGGAAACGAGGGTGCATATTTGGGAAAGAATGACTGCAGAGAAACAGGGTGAAGTTAGAAAGGTGGGGCCGGCCCCAGGAGTTGACCCTGATTCTGTAGGCAATGGGGAGCCACGGCAGGCTCAGCAACGGAGTGGCCTCATCAGAGCTGTGGTTCAGGAAGACAAAGGCAGCGACGCAGGGGACAGGTCAGAGATGCCACACCAGCCAGGCAGCTCACCCGGAAGTCCATGTCCAGATTGCTGGCAGAAGCTGCAGGATCCTTCAGGAGGGAGTAGTCGATGCCAACAAGCTCATCCACATTGCTGCGTACTGTGGGAAGGAGCTCAGTCACTCACGCTGTGTCACGCTGGGCGAGGTGTTCACCCTTTGGGGCCTGTTTCTCACCCATAAATGATGGTCATCAATCTTCCCTCATAGGGTTGTTGCAGGGATCAAATTAGCTTTATGTGGGAAGAAGCTGCTATTACTACTCCTCCTACCACCACCGCTACTGCAGGGCTATTATCAGATCACGAAACAACATGGCAAGGGATTCCCTGCCCTCATGAGTTTTCCCTGCCTCCTCCCTCCCTCCCTGTGCCCCGTGTAGGGGGCACGGTGATCTCTACCCCACAGCAGACAGAGGTCAAAGCTTAGGAAAAGGGAATCCACGTTAGTTGAGCACCTATTAAGTGCAGGGGATGAACACACACGGGGTCCCAATGATCAGCGAGCACATAAAGACAGAGGACCTTGACAATCGTCACGCAGCTAATGCTCACAGCAACCCCACGGGGAGGCACCCCAGCCAGGCGAAGATGGCAAGGCCCAGAGAGAAGTGAGTACTGACCTGGGGTCACACAGGGCAAGTCCGCAGCAGAGGCCATATGGGAACCCAGGGTGTGGCAGGGGCGTTGCCTGCTCTGAGCCATGGCCTGGCAGCCTCCTCCCTACCCCCCCGGTCCAGCCCCAGGCGTGGCCCAGAGCTCCCCGCCCAGCCAGCGCCAACTCACCGGGCACGGTGTCCAGGAGGGAATTGAGCAGCACCATCCCTGCATGGTAGAGCACGGGGCAGATCTGCAGGGCGGGGTCCAGAGTCAGGGCCTTCAAAACGGAGGGCACCCCACCCGCCACCACCACCACCACTGCCGTACCTGCTGGTTGAGGAGGAAGCGCATCCCCGAGGTGATGAATGTGGAGAGGAACTCATACACCTTCCTGCAAGGAGGGGAGAGACCATGTGAGCCCAGACACTGCCCTACCCCAACCCAGGTCCAGGAGAAATCAGTGGCCAGAGACATGGGGAGGAGGTGGCTCAACTTTGACCCGAAGCACCAGCTCTTTAATGAAGGTTTTCCAAATCCCCTCTCCAGCCTGATTCGAAAGACCTCTCCTAACCCCTGCTCCCACCAGCCAAACTGAATTTACCCCCAGTTCCTCAGACCCGCTGCAAGCATCCCCACCTCCAGAGGCTTACTCATGCCCTCCCTTCCACCCTCAATGTTCCTGTCCTATATTTTCCCCCAGTCCGGGCCCAGATGCTTCCTCTTCCAGGCAGTCTTCCCAGACTACCCTCTTCTGAACCCCTGGAGTACTCTCTTCGTTCCTCCCTTAAAGCCCTGATGGCAAATGTTTTGTCCCTTCAACTAGGCTCTGAGCTCCTTTATGCATCCTCAGGGACTGGCATACACTTTATTTGTTAAATAAATAAATAAAAACTTGAGGAGGACCTGGGTGGCTCAGTCGGTTTAGCATCTGACCCTTGATTTCGGCTCAGGTCATAATCTCACAGTTCATGAGTTTGAACCCTGCATCGGGCTCTGCACTGACAGTGTGAAGCCTGCTAGGGATTCTCTCTCTCTCTTTCTGCCCCTCCCCCACTTGTGTGCACCCTCTCTCTCCAAAAAAAAATAAACAACAATAACAACAAACTTGCACTGTACCAACACCAGATGATAAATCCACCGTATTTTCTCTCCCACTCTCTGAGAACTATCACAAAGTCCATTTCTCAGCCCCAAACCTGGAAGTGTGCTATTTTTTTTTGTTAAGTAATAGTAAGAACTGCCAGTTATGTTTGTTGTTGTTTTATTTTACATTTGAGAGAGACAGAGAGTGAGCAGGGGAGGGACAGAGAGGGAGAGAGACACAGAATCCAAAGCAGGCTCCAGGCTCTGAGCTGTCAGCACAGAGCCTGACACAGGACTCAAACCTGAGCTGAACTGGGACGCTTAACTGACTGAGCCACCCAGGCGCCCCAAGAGCTACCAATTATTGAGAACCAAGTTCACGCCCAACTGCCTACTGATCCTCACAATGACTTCTATCTAGGAAGCTAGCCACTAATATGCCAGGTGCCGTTCTAAATATTTTTACATATATTAACAAAGAGTCCTCCTAACATCATATAAAATAGCTTCTATTATCATCCCCATCTTACCAACGGGGAAACTGAGGCACAGAGCTTCAGGTCACACAGCCAGGAAATGAGAGTACTGAGATTTGGACCCAGTTGGCTTGATTCCCAAGCCTGTGCACTTTGCATTGCACTAGGCAGATGGCCAGTAAGGCTCAAAGGGGGCGCCCTGGGTGCAACTGGGGTTGGAGACAGGGCTTACTTGAAGGTTCCCCCAAAGGCTGCGTGCATTCTGGAGACCAAGGCCTGGCAGGAGACGTTGGACACTTTGATACGGCCAGTGGGGTCCCTGGAGAGCTGCAGAGCTGTGCGGATGGACACGCCTTCGGCAGAGGCATTGATGTAGCCCCCATCATAGCTGCCAAGGGGGTGCGGGGCATTTAATGTCCAGTTTGGAGCTTAACCGCGGCTTCTCTACCCCGCTACCCACCCCATATATATCATGATACCTCTTAATAAGGCTTCACTTCGGCAGTTTACCATTTTACCAAGCCCTATCAACCCTTATGTAGTGGGTATGCTTTTCCCTATTGTACAGATGAAGAAACTGGGACTCAGGCAAAAGGGCTGCCCACAGCCCCACAGCATCCCAGCCCTCCAGATCCCCCCTCCACTCCCCTAGGGGTGCCAGATCCTCACAAGAACCAGTAGAGAAGCTGTCTCCGGAAGCGCAGCCCCAAGGAGGCGTTGCTGATTTGTAGCATCAGCTCCTGCTCTGGCTGAAAATGGAGCTCAGAGGATGTCAGCTGCAGCTCTGTGACCTTCACCCTGCAGGAGGCCTCGGGGTCATATTCAGGACCGCGAAGAGGGGGCCCCCCCGCCCAACTACAGGAAATTCTTTCCCTTCTCTTCCAGTCCAGGCCTGGGGAAACCGGGGCGGGTGGAACGAATTCTTCCGTTGCCCCTCGAGTGCCCAGCCTGGACTTGGACAGCTCAGAGAGGAGCTTCCCCCCTTCTCTTAGAAGCCTATTGCTTCCATTCCCTTCCCTCTCACACCCCATGGTTGCTAGACCTGGTCTTTTAACAGAGTCCTTTGATTTTGTCTCCATCGGCTGAGCTCCGCTCCATATCCCAATTCTCCTATCCCCACCATCCCAAGCAAGGCTCTTATCTCTTGTTCCCCTGACCTCTCCCACCTCTCCCGGGTACCCTAGACCCCACTCTCATCCCTGGGCAAGTTTCGTGACTCCGCCTCTTCGGTGCTCTTTGGCTACACCTCAATCCCAAGCCTTCTGCTTCGCGGTGCTTAGTCCGGCCTACGTCGGAGGGCTTGACCTTTATTTTCAATGCCCCGTCCAGTTTCTTGAGTCCCGCCTCCCCGGTTTGGCCACGCCCCCACCCGCCCCCACAGACCCAGCCAATTTCCCCGCCCCTAGGTCCCGCCCCCAACGCAGAGGCTCCACCCCGGAGTCCGAGACCCCGCCCTCCGGGTCTCCTACTTACTCCGAGATGTTGTAGTAGAAGTAGCCCTCCTTGCCCCGCAGGTCCGGAATGGTGATGGTCTCCAGCTCTTGTTCCAAAAAGCGCAGGCCCTCCTGCTTCACTGAAGTAGCAGCGAGGCCCTTAGGTCTTGCGCCCACTGCTGGAGCGACCCCTGCCTCACCCGCCCTCGTCCTGCCCCGCGCCTTACCCAGCTCCAACGCCTTGGAGGTGATGCGGATCTTGCAGCCGGGGAGCTCGGCCTGAGCGCCTGCCAGAAGCGCTAGGAAGAGGGCCCCGAAGAGGGCCATGGCGAGCGGGCCTGGGGTGGGGTGGGGTCGCTGGAGTCATCAGGACCGCTAAAACCCACTCCCCGGTTGTCCAGCCAGAAGAGGGGCTGGCGAGATGGTTACCCTCGAAATAGCTCTTCGGGGAACTCGGAACCAATTATATTGCCTCCATTTGGCAGATGCAGAAACTGAGGCTCAGAAGGGCGATGCGACTCGCGCTCTGGCTCCCAGAGGATTTGGGGCACGGGGGGGGGGGAGGGGAGGAGACATCCTCAGTCCCCCCGTGCACCCGCCGCGTGACGAGTTTGGACCTCCCAGTGACCAGCGCCCCCCCCCCACCTCCCCTTTCCTTTAGCAGAGGGCGGGCGCGGCTTGCATGTTACCATGGGAACGGTTGCACGCGCATTCCTGGGGGGTGGCTTGCGGTCTCCCAGGCCCCGCACCGGGGGAGAAAAGGGGGCTGCCTGCCCAAACTCGGGCTCCCGGGTCTCCCGGCTCTGCTGGGTCCTAAATTCCTGCCATCGAGATTCGGCCTGGTACCCCCCATATCAGCCCCCTTCTTCATGGGATCTCTTCCCCTCCCCGGGCTCAGTAGACCGGGCGGCTCGGCGAGGGTCTGGGGGTGGATGGGGACGCGCCCCGACTCACTGCGGCGGAGCTGGGTGGTCGGCGGGGTCACGTGGTGCGGCGGGCTGCGCAGGGGATCCGGGCGGCGGGGTCTGGCGTGCTGTGCTGTTCCAGCAGCCTTTATAATGCCGGGCCTCTCCGACCCCCCTCCTCTCTCCCGCTCTCCCCTCCTCCCTCGGGGGTTGGGAGGGGATGGGGCGGAACGCTGGCAGCCGGCAGGGTGGAGAGGGCTGTACGGAGCCCCGTGACAGGCCCGGCCGCTGTCAAGACAAGTGGGGGACCCAAGCCGGGAAGGAGGGAGGGAAGTGCAGGAGTTGACCCGCCCAGTCCCAACAGTCCTTGCTTCTCTGGGACCTTGGTTCAGATGCCAAACGCCCATGTCTTTCTGCATGATCCTGGACAAGTCACTTCACTTGGGTCACTGAGCCTCAGTTTCCTCATCCAGCAAAATGGCATGGTAATTGGAACCACCCACAAAATCAATGCCGGAGGCACATTTTTTTTTTTCCTTCCTTTCCAGCCACAATCATCTGAAGACCTCTCCTTGCCAGGCTTCACTCTGGGACCCCCCTAAATGTCTCTGGGTCACTGACTAGGGTCCTAACAGGCCCAGAGACGTCTCCCACTGGGATCCGAGCAAGTGCTGCCCACTCAGGAGGACAGTGCACAGGCTGCTGGAATCACCCCAGAAGGAGGTTTGGTGTTTCTCAGGGACTGTGAACCTTGTTTGTTTTCTGTGGGTTTTTTTGGTGAACCTCTGAAGCTAGGTTCTCTGCACAGTATCTCCATATGCTGCCTACAGTGTTCCCAGCTCTTGGGACAGGCACACAGTAAGTGCTTGCTACCTTTTTGTTATCAAATGGATGAAAGAGGAAAGGAGAAGCAATAAAGATTAGTGTCCATTGAACGTGTATTTCGCACCAAGCACTCATCCAGGTAGGAATACCAACGTGTCCTGATTTGCCTAGGACTTTCCCGGCTTTGAAACTGAATGTCTCCCTTCCAGGATGGTTCCAGGGTCCCCAGGCAAACCAGGATGGCTAGTCATACTAGATCTAGATTAACTTATTTAATCTTCTTAACCTATGAGGCTGGCTCTAGTATGGACCGGCTTTAGCAGGAGAAGAGACCATCAGGCCGTTACTATCAGAGAAGCCATGAACTGTTTTGTGAAAGGGCAGGAGGTGGTGTTTACAGCCTAGTAGTTATCGCACAGCCAGGATTCAAATCCTAGGCTGTCAGTTCTCAGTTCCAATTGTTGGACCCCTTGCCGAGGCAGCTCTGAGCCTTAGTTTCCTCTTCCTAGAACAGAAACAATAAAGTTATTGCAAGAATAAATGGGGGCGCCTGGGTGGCTCAGGTGGTTAAGCGTCGGACTCTTGAATTCGGCTCAGGTCATGATTTCATGGTTCGTGGGTTCAAGCCCCCCATCAGGTTCTGCACTGACAGTGTGCACAGCCTACTTGGGATTCTCTTTTTGACCTTCCCTCGTGCTCTCTCTCGCTCTCTCTCAAAATAAATAGACTTTAAAAATTTAAAAATGGGCATAGTGCATGTTTTAGACATGGTACATGGTACACCATTTAGTGCCAAATAAAGGCTGGCTGTTAAGATTGGGGGCACAAACCACAAGCACACGAGACAGAAAGCATGTAGGACAGGAACAAAGAGAGTGCTAAGGATATCCAGAGGAGGAAGTGCCTTAATGCCTTTGAACTCTAGTAACCCCGCTCTTCCTGGAGCCTGGCTCAAACAGAAAACCTGGTGGATGTTAGTTTTCTTTCCTCTCACTTTCCTCACTGAAATGCAAGCTTCATCTTTGTATCACTGTTATCTCCTGGGAGATGCAGGGGATTCTTATCCCCTGAACTTCCCTGTCCCCACAGCAGCCCCAGTGAGCTTTAAACATAGCTACGTGATCTTGGTCCAGTGGTTTAACCTTCTGGGCCTGTGTTTCCTCATCTGGATTGCTCTGCTGAGGATTAAAAGAGTTAATGCATTTAAAGGGCTTGATAAGCACCTGGCATTTCTTTTTTAATGTTTATGTCTTTATTCTGAGAGAGAGAGAGAAAGAGCCAGAGAGAGAGGAGAGCAGGGCAGAGAGAGAGGGGGACAGAGGATCCGAAGCTGGGCTCAAACCCACGAACCGTGAGTTCACCATCTGAGTCGAACTCACGTCCTGCTCTGGCCGCACTGACCTTGGCACTTGCTGTTCCCTCTGCTCAAAATGCCTTTCCACCTGATCTTCCCACAGCTAGCTCCTTGTCATTTCGGTCTCAGCTTCGATGGCACTTGCTCAGAGAGGACTTTCCTGCCTACGCAGCAGTTACTCTCAATCACGTCAGCCTGCTTTGTTTGCTTTTATTGATCTTGTGACTATTTAATGGTTTACCAAGTTGTCGGAGACATGGCCTGTCTCCATGAGAGCTGGGCTCGGGCTCACCACTCATTCCCAGTACCTAGAACGGTGCCTGGCACTAAGCGTAGGCAGTGCCCATTTGCGGAGTGACTGGACAGGTTCGGAGCCCTCAAATGTGCCCGGGGAGCAGGTGATACCTATCCCACTCTGGATTCTTCCGCAACTTCTGCACCTCACTGTCTCAGCCCAACTGACCCTAAATACAGCCCTGGGCTGGGGGATGAAAAGAGGTACCCAATGGCCTTGATTCCAGGGACTTGCCCGGTCAGCCCAGCCCTCTCCATCACACTGGTTTCCCCTTTCTCCCAAAGCTTGTGCCCCCAACCCTCACATTTCAGTGATACTGGCAGATGTGAAGCCCAGGAGGGACTTTGCCAAGCTCCTCAACACTTGGCTTGAGGGATGAAGAGATCAGAATACCCAAATCCCTTTGCACTTTCACTCCCGGCTTTGAAGAGGGAAGGAGGGACTTCCCAGCACTCGAAGGGACAGGAAAGCAATGCTTTTCTAGCCCCTGCTACGCACCCGGGACAGTGATCTTGTAAAACATGAGAGGAGCCAAGCAGTTAAGAGCTTTGGAATCAGACAGACTTGGTTCAAACCTTGCGTCTGTCATTTTCCAGAGCAGAGGTCAGAGAGGGGTTCCTGTGAAAGGTCAGGTAGTACATATTTCAGGCTCTGCTGGCCCTGTGGTCTCTGTCACAGCTGTTCAAACTCTGCCACTGCAGCCTGGACGCAGCTATAAACAAGGCCCCCTGGATGTGGCCCGTGGGCCACAGTTGGCCAACCGTGTTCAAGAGTAAATGAAAAAGTAAATCTCTTTAAGAGCCTCAGTTTCCACATCTGTCAAATGGAGACAATCTAGTACTTGCCCACCTCTCTAGGTGGCAGTGAGATTTTAAAGTAATGAAGTATATAAAGTGATGAGCCTAGTACTTGGCATGCTTAAGGTTCAATAAATGTCTCTGGTCATTAGCATTAGCTAGTTGTTTAACAAACGAGAAGTGCTTTACAAAATATTAACTCACTGGGGCACCTGGGTGGCTCAGTAGGGTAAGCGTCCGACTTCGGCTCAGGTCATGATCTCGCAGTTCACGAGTTCGAGCCCCGCATTGGGCTGTGCTGACAGCTCAGAGCCTGGAGCCTGCTTCGGATTCTGTGTCTCCCTCCCTCTGCCGCTCCCCAGCTCATACTCTCTCTCTCTCAATAATAAATCAAACATTAAAAAAATTCTTTTAATCAAATATCAACTCACTTGAAAATTCATAACATCCTGTAAGACAGGTATCATCATCCCATTTTACAGATGAGGAAACTGAGACCCAGAGAGGTTACATAACTAGCTCAAGCCAATCTGGCTCCAGAACCCATGCTCTCAACCAACCTACTCAACTGTGTCTCTTTTTAAATGACCCCATTTAGTCCTCACCACAATTCCTTGAGATAGTTATTTTTTTTTAAGTTTATTTACTTATTTTGAGAGACAGAGAGAGCACAAGCAGGGGAGGGGCAGAGAGAGGGGGAGAGAAAGAATCCCAAGCAGACTCTGAGCTGTCAGCACAAAGCCCAACGCGGGGCTCAAAACCAAGAACTGTGAGTTCATGGACCTGAGCCGAAATCAAGAGTCGGATGCTTAACTGCCTGAACCGTCCAGGTGCCCTGAGACATGCTGTTATTGCCCCTGTTTTGCAGACTGGCAAACTGAGGTACAGCGGGAGGAAGTAACTGGTCCGAGTAAACAGAGTCTCCACTGACCACAAGATACCAAGTTGGATTTCTGCCCAAGATGTCAACATGTGTAGCCCGGCTTCCCCCGCCCTCTCCCTGTCTCCAGCTGTGTTTTCTTTGGATCCTCGCATGGCTTGGAGAAGCTGCGTCAGCCCATCTCCCCTCCTGACCATTCTCCCGCCCCCGACGCCCATCCAAGCTACCCCTCAGGAAATGAACCCCCTCCCTCTCAGTCCGCTGGAGCCTGTGGCTGTACGTGCCT